CTGCTCAGACGTATGACATCGCTGTCAAACCGGTTGAACAGCTCATCAATGCAGTATCCAACGGTACAGCAAACAGGTTTTAAATGGCTTTGGTTTTAACGATAATAACAGATAAAAATTTGCTGAACAATTATATAACGGTCAGGTAAAATGACCATACCGTAATAATCTCATTTTTCTTGGCTTATTTCTGTCACTGTTACTTCTGTATAACAAAATCTTCTAAAAAGAAGAAAAAGGATAAAAGAGTTAGCAAATACAATAGTAACTAACAAAATTTGAATTTTTTTTTTTTGGGGGGGGGGGGGGGCAAAAACTTCTTGGCATTTCTATTTCAATACTAATTTTAAAAACATTTTTGGTCAACATAGTCGGGGAGGGGGGGGGGAAGGAGGAGGGGAGGAAAGAAACAACTATAAAAAATTTAATTGCAGAAGCAGCTGTAACAGCCAACACTTAGATGAATATGTCAACTTGTAAACTGAAAAACTGCAGTATTTTTACAACAAATTGATATTTAACCGTTCATCAAAAAATTTTGTTGATAAAAAATTACCTTTTTTATATCTGTATAAGTAGAGAACCTTTTTTTTTTCCCAAACAAAAAATAAACATTTTTTTTTCTTCTCATATGGTACCAAAAAGAATAAAAAAAAAAAGAAATTTTTGAAACAACATTTGCCTAAAACTTATTCCACAAACTAAACTGGTTTTAGTAACACTGAAACAGATAATAAAACAATAGCAGTAAAAATAATAATAATAATAATAAAAAAATAAAATTACTGTAGATACTGTAACTGTTACATTGCAATGTGCTCCGTATAACCAAATATCAATCTCGTTTACTCTCGCCAACGCCCAACATTTTATTCATACAACTTCTCCCAGCACAGTCAGAATCTTTTAGGCAGTTTTTACAACCCCGCTGACAGTATTCCACATACATGTCAATACTATCTATCGTCAACATTTAACTGATCTAATACCGGCTGATCAATGGAAGAGCTATTTAAAGAAGAAAATTTTTTTTTCGCTTTACAGCTATAGCAACTACTATACATTTTATTCATATATCTTTTTTTTTCCCCTATATCATGATATTATAAGTTCAAAAAAAAAAGCATACAGAGAAAGATTAAAATAAAGCAAAAATATAAGACACACACACACAAAAAAAAAATGTAAAACTAGAATCTGTGATGTTTAACCAAAATGCTAACCATTCTATCAAATGTGTTTTGTCGTCTCAGTGACCAAAAGTTAAGGTACTCTTTCAACCAACTGAAAAAAAAAAAAATGTAAAATAAAGACAAGAAATATGAACGATACAGTTGTTGTTTCGGTGGAACAACACCGCTTGAAAAATACCAATTATTTACCTAAGTTAACTGTGCTTCTGCTTCTGCCCTTTCTTTTTTT